TCTTCAAGGAATTAGGTGTAGGGACACATACGGGCTCCCGTGGCTCCTCAGCGTCTTTAATTTCCAGATCGGGAGCGCCGGCCGTCAAAAAGATAGGAGAGACGGTTTAACGGCGGGTCTGGGCCGGGCCGGGGCGGGAAAGGGCCGCCTGTGCGAAAGACAGGTGAGGTGCGTTCGGTCTGTCCAGTTAACGCCGAAAGGGCTGTCGGGGCAGGAACAGCACAGCCTTCTGTCGGGATTTGGTCACGCCTGCCCAATTTGGCGTTACTCGCTTCTGGCGTACTAAAATGGGAAGTCTTACAAACACTCAGATGTTAATAAATATTAATACCATGAAATACTGTAAAACAGGACTTGATGAATTACTCTACCTAACATAAGAGTTTTAAGGATTTCAGCCTCTCCAGAGATGTAACAAAATAACGTAATGGCCTTCTGGGATTTTGAAAGGCAAACCATCTGAAAATTATTTATGGCAAGGAAACAAGTACTGCAGGGCTGTGGGTTAGGATATTTTCTAAATTGGTGAACAAATAGCTCTGCTGCTGTTTTTTTGAGATACGGTCTCCTTGGTGACTTCCCCAGCTGCTTGGGAAGGCCCTCTGATAAGCCTGATGTTTAACCTAAGCATCTTATTGAACTGTTCTCTTTCGGAAGGTTTTGTAGTTTGTCCATTTGTGATGCACCTGGTCACATATGCACGTAAGATAACACGATGAAAGCACAGTCTATTTATTTTGAGATGCAAGGGGTGGGTCTAATCCTGCCCTTGCAGAGACCTGTGCCGTTCCCAAGGAAAGGAGCAGGCTTGCAAACCTGCGTCTCGGAGCAGAATGGACCTATGGGCTCTGCTAAAGGCAGGTAGCGTGTGGCTGTGTAAAATCATCTGAGAAACCGTTTATGAAGAGCTCTATAGAAATGTCAGTACAACCCAGGAAATGTTTCTGAAACAGCAGCTGGATGTTCCGCTTCCACTTTCTGTTTTTTTTTTTAAATTTTGCCCTTCTTGGTAAATGCTGGGTGAGGAACCACATGCCATTAATGGCTTCTCAACATCTCACCCAACCTTTCACCCCAGCCGGAGGGCGAGTGTCATGGCAAACACACTGATACTACACTGTGCAGGACGTGTTTCGGAGCCGTCGTTCTTACAGTGCAGACAGTAGTTTGATTTTTCAGCACTAAGAGCTCTGCATCGTTGTGATGCAAAAAGGGGCCAGGGAGTACTCAGAGCCTGAAGGATTCCTTGCTATTACTGCATCGCCTTTCACAGAAGGATCTCAAAGCACTTTTGAAAAGCACTGAGAAAATATTTGCTGGCCTTGTTAGAAGCCAAACAAGGGCCCAGACAGCGACTTCCCAGTTCCCTTTTCTAACTACAGGAAAAGGCTGCTTTTCATTTTGCCCTGTCCGGCTTCCTGTGCGCTGCGTTTCTGCCGGAGATAGGCGGTCTGCCGTGCTTGACGCCCTGTGTGAGGGCTGCCCGCTTGATCCCGTCCCTCCTCGCGCAGCGGGAGCTGGGAGGTTGCTCTGTGCCACGTGCGGGACCGCGAGTGCTCGTGGTCCCAGGAGAGGAGCAGCCGAGCGCTGCTCCGGGGTGCACAAAAATGAGGTATTTTATGAGCAGAGCAGCTTCAGTCTCCTCATTCCCTAGATGGGCAGGTCCCTGGATGGGGAGAGGAGAGTTAAAAGGTCCTTTTGGCTGCTTTTGTCTGAGCTGGATGAAGGGATGGTGGTGGAGAAGCTGGAGCTGAGGGGACGTCCCCAGGTCTCACCACACTGCACAGGGCAGCCATGCCTCTGCTGGCGGCTGCTCCTCAGGGGACCTTAATTTGGCAGACAAATGGCACTGAGGCCTTCGCAGGTCGCCTCGCAGGTGAGGATGGAGCCGTGCCTCAGGTTTCACCCCAGCTCCTGGGTTTTTTTTGGGGGGGAAATAGTCATAAATCCATTTATGTTCCGTTTCCAGTGCTCCCTGGGCACGGAACATTGAAGGAAATGTTCAATGCCCAGATCCCGCCCGTGACTCACACCCGCCCTTCGCTTTCCTGTCAGGTTTTACATTGCCAAAGGCCGGCGGCGACCCCGCCGCCATCTT